ACACTTCTGATGTTAGGAAAGCAAACTCAGGTGTATTAGAGTTATTTCCTCTGTAAAATTTCATTAATTCATTTTCAGCTTGTTAGCTGAAAGAAGAGCTGTGTAAAAGCTCTTGCTCAGTGTTGTAGGTTGTAAGTACATTAAGAGACATAAACTAAAGGATAGGTAAACCAGTGAATGAGGAACTAATGAAAATTGGCCATATTTCAAAGGAATTGGCCAAATGCTCTCAGCTTTTATAGGTAACAGGTCCACTCCCTGCCTACCCTTTGCACCAGCTCTCCATCAACAACATTCTTAGCAATGTGCAGACACCCACAGGGGCACTAGTGTATTTATATAAATGCAGGTCTAGGAAGAGGGCACCTAAGACTTTTGGAGAAATAGTTCAGGAGACTGGAGCTGAAGCCTAAGGAAGGAAGAGGGGAACTTCCGCAAGTGCCTTTCGCTTGTTCAAGGGAGCTGCTTCCTTCAGGCTATCACTCTTTCATTGGCTCCTAACTACTCCCAAAGGAATTTTATGAATGGTGTTGAGATTTTGATACCTAATAAGACATATGTTTACCTACATTATTTCTTCACAGATGTGATATTATATTTATAAAAACTAATTCAACATCAATTGGTAGACCCCTCTTTATCCTCACCCTGTCTTACAGGAAATTTCTTCATAGGTCTATGTGTTTGTGATTTAAAAAATTCCAGCATTACATCCAAATCTGAAACTCATATATTACGTTGTGAATTTGTGATATTCTTTCTTTGAGTGATTAGATAAAGATACTATGTATAGCACTAACAGAATTACAATGGGTTCAATTAATTGTATTATCCAAATAAAAGGTTAAGGTTATTAATATCTAGAGATGACTACGATTTCTGTAAAGGTTTATACTCTAACCCCTCAATGGGCTTGCCCTTTTCTTTCACTGATGGTACAGCGGAGATATCAACAATTAGACCATTTGGAACAAGCAGTCCAGTCACAGAATAACAGAGCAGTCAGAGCTGCAGTAACCCTGGGCACACAAGTTGGAAGATGCAAAGAAGTCTATAATGTCTGAGGTTATAATTTGTACCCCCCTGCCAAAAAAAAAGGGCTGGAAGTTGATAATTCCATTAGGCAAATTAAATAAAAATCCTACATATTTTTGTGCAGTTTTATTTGAAAAGACAATCTTTATATAAGCCAGTGATCAGTGCCTATTCCTATAAAGTTTGAAAAGAAAAAAGTAGAACAAAAGATTTGAACATTTGTGGGTTGGTTCGAGTGTTTTCAAGTGCGAGTGACTGAAGGTGAAGCGATTCCCTCCTGGCTCCTCTGCGTTGTTTGGGATTAGAACTGTGTAAATACCATGAGTAATATAGAAGTTCTCTGAAGGGTAAGTTAGTGCTCTGATTAACACTTACTTTCTGATAATTCAGCTGGAAACATAACTGGGAAACTTTACCGTGGCAGTTTCTTGGAAATGGGAGAGATATGCAGAGTCACTCTGCTTGGAACTTTGTCAGTTTATTCCTAAATCCTGGCAGAATAAATTCGGCACTTGCTCGGTCATTGCTGTGGCCTTTCTGTGTGTAGGAAACAAGCCCTCATCCTTAAATACCCACTGTCAGTATCTGGAATACCGCACCCTGCCTCTTTCACCTTGTGTCCTACTTCACATTCTACCAAATATTCTAGTATAGTTCTAAGGCAAGTGATACTTTGAATTCTTTCAGTTTTTTAGCTTCTTGTTAGAAAGATTTTATTGAAATTCCTGTATGTTTCATGTTTCTAGAAGCCAATGTTTGGAGAGGCCTCACACTATGGGCTTTGATGATTAACAGCAAAACAAGTTGTGTTTTGTTATAACACTTAATATCACACCCTCTTCAGAGTTCAAAATACATTGACATTTCCTTCTTTATGTCAAAATAATTTCATGTACTACCACTGGGGTATTTTCAGTTAGCTTATTTTCTTTATTGAAATACCTACTCATAAAATTAAATACTCACATTTAAAAAGTAAATTATGAAAAGTAAAATGGGGCAAGTTTTCTTATATGTATGCTCTTCGGATTCACTTGCACAGTGTTTACATTTGAGGTTGTAGTAAATTTTATCATGGCTTTGCATAGTCATAATGGATATTATATTTTAACTCAAAGCTATGCAAAACCTATTGTGAATAAAAATTGAAATCACAAAGTAGTGGGAAAAATACAAATCATAGTCACATATTAGCATGGTAAGTAATGTTATGCTTTTCCTTTTATTTTTAGATTAGGATTTCTGATTTTAAAAAGTATATCTTATTCTTTCTGTATTCTTGAGCATCAAACACTAACAATGAAGTATTTTTTGTTGTTTGTTTTTTGAGACAGGGTCTCGCTGTATAGTTCAGACTGGCCTTGAACTCAGGGATCCTCCTGCCTCAGCCTTCCAAGTGCTGGGATGACAGGCATGTGCCACCATAGCTAGCTGAAGTGCTTTTGTTACTATTACTTTCAAGACAATAACATCTGGGATAATGACATAAAGTGAATTTTCAATATATAGAACAGAGACTTATAGACTACCTCCAAAAGGTCAATCTTTTCCTAAAAATAATTAATAATAAAATTGAATAGATGATATTCTTTACTAAACAGAAAATTTCCCAGAAGGCTTTTCTTCACTTTTTCTTCTTTGAGACAGGGTCTCACTATGCAGACCAGGCTGGTCTTGAGCTCACTTTGTTGTGCAGGCTGATCTTGAACTCGCAGCAATCCTCCTGCCTCAGCCTCTGAGTGCCAGGATTACAAGAGTGCACCACCGTGCCTGGCTTCTTCTTTCCTTGTACATGTTTGCAGTATGTAATGTTGACAGTCCTTGCATAGAATTGGTATATGTAAGCTTTTTCCCACTCTGGTGTGATATACTAAAAAGCTTTGGAAAGTGTTCATGTTCATTTAGAGTTAAATATATGTATGCAGTAAAGTCCAGGTGTCTTTTTGCAACAGGCTTTTAGACCTTCAGCTCTTTGGATAACTTCATAAAGGCATTAGAATGTAATAATCCTGTCTAGCTTACAAATTTGTTCCCAATTTATAGTTAGAAATAATTAGAAGTCTTCATTTTAAATCATTCAAGACATGTGCAAATGGTTGAATAATATTCCTGAGGACTTTCTATTTAAATAAGAACACAGATTATGTCATTTTCTTGATATTTGTAATGGTTAGCCCCCTTTCGTATGTCTGTTTTCAGATCTCTGTAAGCACTCCTACAGAAATGGTGAGAAAGATATATTTTACACCTTTTTTTTGTTTTGTTTTGTTTTTCTCCAGTACCGGGAACCGAACTCATGACCTTGCACTTGCCAGGCAGGCACTTTGCCACTGAGCTAAATCCCCAGCCCCGAGAAAGATGTATTTTATAAAAATAAAAGTTTCGCTAGAGTGAAAGCTAAAAAGAACTGTGGAAATAAAATATTCAAAGGAGTTCTCAATTAGTCTCATTACAATTAGGTGCCTTTTTTCCTGTTTTATAATTTTGATTGTTCATCTACAAGTGAGTTTCCACTGCAGGACCTCAGGTACCCATTTCTTTCTTTTCGGTGTCCCCCAAACTAGTCCATAGATACCTCAGAGGCTATTAGATTTGTCACTAAGTATAAGATCTTAGGTAACATGATATGTGTGTGATCCGGAGTTTCCTTGTATGTAAAATGCCAGAGTGGGGAATGAAGTTATATTCAATGTGCCTCTCTCCTCTGAAATTTTTTTATCCTCCAATTCCAAGTCAGGCTTGTCTTAGGCAGAACCCTGTCCCAGCTAGTCTACCTACCTCCGCTGTGAATTCTAGCCCTTGTCATTTAAATCACTTTTGACATGAGGAAATCTCTAGCTGTCATCTTCATTTGAGGATTGAAACTCTCCCTCGACTTTCTTGCAGATATCCCTACCTGTTTCTAATCTAGAGAAAGCCACTGTGAAAGCGGGAATTCTTTTTATACTTCCTGGCAGAATTCTGCGCAGGCAGCTTGGCGCGCTGGCCATAGGTCTCTTAGTCACAGCGACAGGTAATCCATTTCCTTCTTGGCTGTCAGGGAAGGGCCTAATGAGCCAGTCCAACAAATTCCGCGCCCCACCCTCGTTTCCATGGGTTGGTTCTCCTGCTCCTGCAGGCTCTTTGCCAGGCTTCCCTGAGAATGATCAAATTACCTTACAGCCCAGGCAGGGACAGCACATGTTGCTTACCTTCCACCCAGTTGTCTTTTCCTTCAGCAAAACTTCTGCTTCAGTGAACTCTCACTCCTTCTTTTACTTCCTAAGAGACATTCCACTCTTCACCTTTGCTTATGGTCAATCCATGATTTCATGATTTCGTTATCATGTTTAATGAAATAAAATAGCTTTGGTTCTTGTTCCAGTGACACATCACTGAATTTCCCACGATGGGGTGAGGTTTAGCTTCAGGAGCAAATGAAATAAGCACCCTCCCCTCAAAGAAAAGATCTTTTCATCTCTCTAAAAAAAGTCATGTGCATGTGTTAAACATATTACAAAAAGGCCAAATGGAAACCGAAGAAAATCTAGGTGTTTGCGATTTTCACAAATATGGAAACAATTCTTTACTTCACTTTAGTCATAAACTTTTACTTAATATTGATGCCTTCTTAGAATGGTCTTTGCTGAGATTAGTATATGAAAAGATAGCATGAAGATGTGAAATCCATGTCAAGGTACATTTGGCAAAAAGAATGACTCATCTCCATGAGTTCTGGGTGTATTCAGGAAAGAGTTCACCTGCGCGTCCAGGTGATTGGTAGAAGTGGGTTATTTACCTGGGAGGACCTGGAAGCTTTTTACCTAGTGTCAACAGGATTGTTGTTAAGCAGCAGCTTGGCAAACATGGGAAGGTTGTCATTAAACAATGTAGGGATTCAGAACTGTTGACGTTTATTTGCTTTTCGACTCTTCAACAGCTCAGGGAGAGATCCAGGTTATCTTTGACCAAAAAAAAAAAAAGTCTATGCATCACTGCATGCCCTCTCTTTCTTTAAAGATCTTGGCAACCCCACAACAAGGTGACATAATCTTTGAAGGTAAGGGTTTTTTAAAAGCATAGTTCTCCTTAAATGAGTTTTAAGGGTGGATTCATGGACTCTTGCAAATCTATGTGGTGCGCTGAGAGTTTAATTAGATACGTATATATAATCCCCTACTTGGAGAACGGTGCATGTGCATGTTTTATTAGATTTTTAAGGGGGTCTGTGAAACAACAGAGTTCATAAACTGCTAAAGTACTTTGGGGTCTACACTTATCAGTTCTTTTAAGGCTGGCTGTGAAGGGGAAGAGAGGACACCAGCATGGTGCTTGTTCCTCTTGTACACAGTTTGTAAAAGCACAGCCAACTGGGCAGATAGAAATCAGAGGGGGGGATGCTGGTCACTGCTGGAAAGGTAACAAGAGTATATTGGGAGCAACTTAGTGGAAATGGAAAAAAGTTAACCTCTCCAAACAAAGGCGTCAGGACACTCCCACTTTATCGTGTAAGCAGGAGTCTCTAGTTTTTGCTTTGTTTGGAAAACAGCAAGTGCTGCTTTCCTAAGGGCCCACTCGCCAACTCCATGTCAGAGCTCTGGGCCAGAACCTATCTGCTCTTACTCTTAGCTTCTGGCATGGTCTAAGACTTACATGCAGAGACACCTGCCTCACCCTCTATTTGGCAAGTAAAGGGAAACTGAGGACTCGGGACTTACATTGCTCCATCCTCAGATCTGGGTATTTTTGCCAAATACCATTTGGGTAGCACACTTCAGAAATGGCCATCTAACAGCTATACTTCTGTCGCCTTTTGTAAATACAGCACATGATTATCTGAGATGCTTTTAACAAACAGGACAGCCACCTCTGACCGTTCTTTTCCCTGTCAGCCCAGGGGACCCACATCTGTCTCCCACATGTAAACAAAACAGCAAGATACTCTGCCCCAGCTTTTTTTTTTTGAGGTTTCAATATTTTAGTTAAATTTTATTTTAAATGATGTTAATGATGGCATTTGAAGGGGAGGATCTAAGTTCTGCACAAAATGGAAGACTCTAGAACATCCCCAATGAAGTGATGAAAAAGACTGAGTGGTAAGAATACAACATACACCCAATTTTTATTCCTAGTGTTGTCACCGTGTGCTTGCAGTCACGAAGATGTCCCATCTTGTAGCTAGTCATACACGGGTGCAAGGACAAAAAACCCACAACATGAAGAGGAATTAAGTCCTGAGTGATTGGCTTCATTACATTCCCCCGTCTCCACCCAAAGCGGCACAAAAGAAACAGCTCCTGCACCCTGTGGACTCCTTTTGGTGTAAAAGAGGTGATGAGAAGCTGGGGTGGGAACAGGTTGTGAGGCCCAGCTCTCTGAAGAGAGGCCTCTGTCTTCTCTGCTTCCCTCACCATGTTTGATAAACCAGTGACTGTTCCGCTCACCCTGTCCACACACGCCTGGCTCCTCATCGCTTACGTACCCCTGCGTTTTTTTGGTTGAAATTTCAGATACATCCTCAGTATAGGGTTTTATCCTTCCTATGGTCTTTGCAGTTAATCACATACACATGCCCAAACTCTGTTTCTACAGAGTGTGAGCTTTTACTCATCAGCCAGTTATCAGAATTAACTGGCAAACTACCTGCTTCAGCAGGGCTGAATCTGTGTGAGTACTTTAAATACACTTGTATCTACTGGTGGTATCATGTGTTTCAGGCTTAAAAGTTTTCCTTTAGCATTAAACAAAAATGCATTGTTGAAACCCAAGCCCCTTGAGCACATGGATAGTCTTTGCATATCACAGAGACAGGTAACAGAAATGTAATCCTATGATTTGAATTTTAGACTTCAGATACAATTTCCTCCATAAATTTTGAACAGATTTTGAAACTTTCCTTTGTAAATATATTAGTTTCCTACTGTTATTATAAAAAGAATTAGTGACTTAAAATAACACAAATTTATTTGCTTATTTTCTGGAGGCCATAGGTCCAAAATGCCGTTCACTGGGCCCCCATCAAGGCCGTGTTCCTCTAGTCTCTCTACAGGCAAATCCATTTCTTTCCCTTTCCTGCTTTTCTGGCTTCTAGAAGACACCTGTATGCCTTGGCCCTAGACCTGGGGCTCCATCTCTAAAGAGTGACATTTTCAAATTTCACTGCTTCTCTCATGCTAACCTTTCTGCCTCTTATCAGCGTCCTTTAAGATTAAATTGGACCCACCTGCATAATCCAGGCTGCGCTCCCATGGCAAGAGCTTTCATGTAGTCACACCTGTGAAGTCCCTTTAGCAAGAGAGCTTAATCTATTCACAGATCCTGGCAATCAGGATACGGATAATTGGGGGAGTCATTCTTAAACTACCGCAGTAAATTAATGGGGGTCTCTACGTTAGAATATTTTCCTACAGGAGATAATGCTTCTTTAAAAGTTGATTAGGAATCACAGCATTTACTTTTCCTTAGACAAATGAACCCCAGCCAGGGGTTCAAGTCCATTTTAATGAGAAACTTTCCAATTCTACTCCACAAATGTGTTTTTGGAACAAGCCTAGACAGGAACAGTGAGAAAATACAAAGACTCTTTGGGTGAAAGAAGTTGTCAAGGTAATTTCTTTCTAGTTCGTGGTTTTCTCCACAGATGGTGCAAATAAATCAGAACAAGAATAGAGTAACGGCACATGTGTTTAGTATTCTCCAAACTGCGCTGAAAGCTGACAAAGCATAAAAATTGTTTTCCATCCTTCTTCTCAGTAAAGGAGTTATGCAGCGAGTTTGCCCCGCGGCCGTGACTTTTCCAAATCTGGTAACTCTATGCCATGAGAAGGAGACAATACCCGGGGCTATGCCCAGACATTCAGGTGGCTGCGGATCATCCCTCGGCCCGGCGCTCTCAACCCCCGCTTTCCCAGTGATGATGAGTGACGCGTGCGGACAGTGGAGCAGGTGTGTGGTGTCTGCCTTTGGCGTGTTGCAGCACGACTTGAAGGAGGAAATCTGAATTTTTTCTATTTCTTGCAGGAGAGGGGAGCCAAAGGGATGACAGATTCCCATAGGAAATGCACACACACCTGTTTTCTGGAGTTTGTTTTTAATTTGACGCTCTAGGCAGTTTCACAAAAACAAACCCCAGAGTGAAACCATCAATAGGAAAATGCCTTTGTGCCATTCAAAATTATTCTCAAGAGCTAAGTAGCATTTTTGGACCAGGTGCAGAAGAATTTTTCCCCTTTTATTCCTAAGCACAGAACTAGTTTTTATGACCTTTCTGGGGAATAAATCATTCATTTAAAACTACATCTAGGAGATGGCACTATTAATTTTTTAATATTTATATTTTGTCTCATAACTGTTAAAAAGAGAATCTAACATCTTTTTGGAAAATTCTATATATTGAAATAAGATTTTGATATCAAACATCTCCCCCACTTAATCTACTTTCTGACCCCAGGTGATCTGGATATTTTGCTAGATTCTGGTAACCCTCTGTGTCCTATCCTGGCTGAGCTGTGAGTTTCCATTTTGTTTTAGGGGTTTTTGTAAAAATAAAAGGAAGGTCTGAATTCTTATTTATACATTGACACCAAGTATTACAGAGCCTTTCCCAGGTTCTCTGTGTGAAGGATGTAAGTTCTTTCTGACATCAGCTGAGAGCATCAGATGACCATTTGTATGCAGCTCTTAACACTTACCTGAGTACTATGTGTGTAACTTTGCCACTGGGTTTTAGCCTCTGCATTTTCTAGCAAGATTGTATTAAAAATTTTTTTTTTAGCTGACCTTCAAGAATCCCTGTCAGCCCTCCCAAGCTCAGGCTGCTTAAACCTAGAGAAGAGAAACCCCTGCCTCAAGCTCTGCATTTGAAACTTCACTGTTCCTTCTTTAATCAGTCCACTTACTTTCTTCTAAGACTATTGTCTGTGTTCCAGAGATTGTAGAATTCCCTAACCAAAAGGACCTGAGCCTACTACATTTACACAGCCTATTTGCTCTCCATTCTCCTGAATGGTGGACTATGCTATTTCACAAGATTTTGATTAAGGGAAGCTGACTCATGTTTTATGGAATTCTGAGAGTAATGGAAGATTGTGTATAAAACTTTATCTAAAGGCTACCAGGAAATCTTCACAGTGTTTATGCATGTGCAGGGAAATATGGAGCCAGTAGCATGAGGGTTAAGTCCAAGAAGCAAAAGTTTGGGTGTCCCTTACCTGTTGTCTTCCAGGGTGCGCCTATGAAGTCTGTAAGCTTCCCAAACTTGAGCTTGCTTTCTAGTCAAAAACAGGATGGAACACACTTCATTTAAGAATTTGCTAGCTTAATTTAAGCTTTTTAGGTATGCAGATATGTCGTATGTTGACCTCCCTTTGTATTCTTGCTCTAAACCCTGCAAGTGTTACGTTAAAATATAATAACCATTGTTAAATTTCTATCATCTTGTTGTGAAATTCTGTATCATTTTTATACATTTTTTTCTCTCTTAAAAAAATGTTAGGTTAGCCTTCCCAAATCAAGAATTAAAGGTGCTCCTCTTATTCTCCTTCAAGCCTAGGAAAGTGAGGTTTTTGAAAGGGAAAATTCTCAGGGAAAGAAAAGTCCCAGGGAAAAGTCCCATTTATCAAGGAGAAAGCTAATGACACAGCATCATCCATACAGGGAACGTAGTCCTTTTGGCCCTAGGAGCTGCTATATAGGCACCCCTGAATCCCCAGACTAGCAGCAAGCCTGGTCTGGTCAATGGCAGCCTTCTGCTGTCACAGACAGGAATACAAACTACTGAACAGAGACCTATTTGTTCTCACCTCTTGACTCTCCCTGTATGTTATGGTTTGTGTCTGGATGTCCCCCCAAGGCCTCATGCAGTCATGGGGTGGGCTTCTAGAGTTTATGATTGATTCATGGTCCAGTGCTGGGATTATGAGTGTGAGTGCTACACCTACCTGGGGCAAGCAGCCTGCATACAATATAAGAGAGGGAAAGAGGCTTGCTCTTTCCCCTCCTCCCTTTTTGCTCTTGCTGCTTTTGCTGTTTTCCACAACCATGAGCTGTTGCCCTCTGCCATGTGCCACTCTGCCCTGGAGCCAGTGGAGTATAGACTGAAACCTCCACAAACTGTGAGCTAAATAAACCTTTCCTTCCTTAATTGTGGGTGTCAGGTATTTTGTCTCAGCAACGAGAGAAAAGTAACCAAGGCACTTATACATGTCTATCATTTCTTCCAGGTGTGCTGCTCAAGACAGCGGGTAACTGCCCTGGGGGAGGAGCCTGTTACAACTGCTGGATCAACTTAGTTCCAGCTTTTCTACCATGATGTGATTTACTAAAGTAAATCAATGGGCAGATTAAACCTGCTTGCTTGGAAAGAGTCATTTTCTGCCTGGGCTCTTTGCTAAAAACACGAAGCATTCGTATTAGGAGCACTATGTCCTTTTCCCTGTCCTTTATCTACCTCCTTCTCTAAACTTACAGCTGCAGGATTTCTAGAACATACTATAATAACTTCCTACTTAAGATAATGTTGGATACATATATGAACAGATTACTTCCTCAGGTCTTCCATCAAAATCTGTATCTGTGTGGGAATTCAGGTTAAAACAGTTAATTCAGCTGGGGATATAGCTCAGCAGCACAGCACTTTCCTGGCAAGTGTGAGGTCCTGAGTTCAGTTTCTGGTACCAAAAAAAAAAAAAAACCACAAGTGTTAACTCAGATTAAAATTTTAAATTGGTGTCATTTCACATGTTCAACAAAATGATATTACAGAAATTTACTTTGATATCAGGAAGATCTCAAGTAGTGCATATGTAATGAAAATGCTGAAGTTTCACTGGCAAGTGCTTCTTGCAAGAAAGTTACTCTAGTACCTTTAATTAGCAAAACTACTAAGATTTTATGAATTTAATTGGGAAAGTAAAATTATCAGTTATCTTGGATTTGAGAAACATTTGAGTACTGCACAGTATACAGTAAACATATAATATTCTCCCTTGGGATGGATACTACCCATGTGGTAAAGACAAGCCTAACAAGCCAATAATCAGAGTAGAATAAATCACCCCTGACCACAACATGGTTTTGATTCTCTAAATGCTGTATGCAGTTGAGACCAGATGGAAATCCACAAAGGGAAAACTTCCTGGAAAAACAGCCCTTGAAAAGTGAGTGATTGAAGAAGGAGGGCTCCAGAGAATAGCAATATGGGAAGTGTGACCTTGCATTTCATATGTCAGCTTGCCTGGGCCCTCAGATGCCCACATATTGGGTCAGACATTATTCTGCATGTGCCTTTCAGAGTGCTTTTTCTGTGTCTGGTGGACTTTGTTCATGGACAGGAGCTTTATTCTTGCCTTTGGAGTCAAATGAAAACACCAGCTCTTTCTGGATTTTAAGCCTGCCAATCTTCAGACCAAACCTACAACTCTACAAATCTGCAAGTCAGAATTGTTATGGTTTGTGTCTGTGTGTCCCCCCAAAGCCTCATGCAGTGATGGGGCAGGCTTTTAGAGTTTGATTGATTATGGGTGTGAGAGCTGCACCTGCCCTGGGGTGGATAGTTTGCATATGTAAGGGAGAAGAAGAGGCTGCTTGGGGCCATTCCTCCCTTGTGTGTGTTTGTTGCTTTGGCTGTGTTCTGCCTCCATGAGCTGTAGCCCTCTGCCATGTGCCACTCTGCCTTATAACCTGCCAAGTATGGACTGAAACCTCCACAAACTGTAAGCGAAATAAACTTTTCCTTCCTTAATTTTGGGTGTCAGGTATTTTGTCCCGGCAAGAAGAGGAAAGTAACCAAGACAAGAATAAACTCCAATTCTCCTGGTTCTCAAGCCTTTAGATTTGAATGGGAAGGAAACATTTGGTTCTCTTGGGTCTCCAGCTTGGCCACATATCTTGTATATCTTGAGACTTGCCAGCCTCCAGAACTGCAGGACCCAACTCTTTATACTAAGTCCCTTCATGCATGTGTGACTACATTCATGGGTTCTGTTGATACCAAGAAGCACAACTCTACAAAATGTGATCATACAGAACATTTCCCGGTGGTTGCAAAGTCTGGTAAAAATTCAAGGTAAAACTGACTTTATATAAATTGGGAGGAGATGCAGAAGGGAAGTCTTTAGCCACGCAGCTGAGGTATCCCCTCTTAACCTAACCTCTGTCTCACTTATCCATTCTTGTACTCTTTTCCACTGAGCCTAAACTGGACTGATGGTTTTACCTTAATACTCCATCCTTAAAGCTGCCTCACATATTATTTGGAATCCCTGGATTAAATCTGGCCAATCATCTGGTGATCTACCTGAAATGCCAATAATTATTAAGGAGGCCCAGGGTAGCCTGAGATCTGAATACTCAAATGATACAGGTGCTGGTAGTCTCAGGACCATACCTGGAGTAGGGAACATCCCTTGTCTACTTAATGTTTCTTGAATGGGGTTGCCGTTGAAGAAATACTACCAGGCCTCTGAAGGAATAAGGCCTAGCTTGGAGAAAAGAGTGTATTCTACAAATTATTTTGTGTCATACCTATTATATAACTACTGTCCTGGAAATTGGATGTCAAGGATTTGCAAAATCAGAGAATAAAAATTAGGAAGAAATAGGTATTTATACAGAATATACCATCTGAGACAAGCATCAGAAGTTTGTCAGAGACAATCTGAATAGCCATTTTGCCAGTATTAACAGGAATGGCATTTTGAAATTTTAAGTGTAAGAATCATTGACTGTAATTATTTATAAACTGACCATATAAGTTACAATCAGCTCAAGTAAAAGATGATAGAAAGAGGTGAAGGAATTTAGGTAATTTATTCAGTACCTTGTTTACCAGATTTTTTTCAGAGAGTGAGGCAGCCCAGTGGCAGAAACTCCAAGGAATCCAGGTGATGAGGCAAAAGAAAGATCCAAGGGTCTGGACAACTCCCCCAGAAAGAAAAGAATAAAACACATGTGAGCAGTACATCTAGGAAGGACAGTCTGTTTGGATATAAATAGAAGTAATGAATAACCTGTCATCTGTCAATACTATTTGCAGAGAGAGGATGTTAGAATATGCATAGTGAAAATTATATATGAAGAAATGAAAACTGAGGCCAAAATCTAATGTATGGTCACACTAAAATATTCATATCATCATAACAAAATATGAAATATATAGGTACTCTGATGTAAAAAGAAATGGCAGCTAAGGAGTTGCATGGGAGTTGGATGACTGATACGAGTTTCTGATGATACATCTCTATACACATAGAGGTGTGTGCTTGTATCTCCTTTTCCACATGTGTATTTATATTGTTGCTGTTTGTTTTATGTTAAAGGAATCATATTTAAGTGTGATTGCACCTGTGTTTGTGCTGCTAGTTGTTTTGAAGTAATAGGTTTAATGAAAAGAATTAAATTGGAAATTAACTGGAATGTCAGGATTACTGGTATTGAATTTCCGCCATTCTTGGTTTAGTTAAAATACACTCAGATACAAACTAGCAGACATCTAAAATATGCCACTGCACTGTGCTAGCTGCTTCAGGGACAACAACAGGAAGTTCTAGCCCATCTTCTTGAAGGTAACACTCAAGAACTCGGATGTGGAACTGAGTTGGTCTTGGGTTCTATTTGCTGAATGACCTTGAGGGATTTACTTCATCTTCCTAAATTTTGGTAAATGGGGTTAATTAAATTAATTAAATGATGAATCTGGCAAATGCTCAGGACATGCCCAGAATTTGCTAAGTGCATAATAATTGCTAGTTCATCTATTACTCTTGAGCTTAATAGAAGTGCTTACAAGCCTTTTCCAAATAGCATCTCCAACTCTATGTCTGATATTACTCTATTCTACCACATAGGTTTTGAAGTTTGTTACCGGTTATACTCACAGTCGCATACAGCTTCACAGACTTATGGTTTGCCTCCATGTGTAGAATAAGCATGCTTTAAGGTAAGAATTAGTTTTTTTATTTCCTGAGTCCTTCCAATATCAAACTCAATATATAAAGTCTGCAGCAGACATTAAGTACTTATATTTAAGTCAATTAATCCTAATATCTTTGTGTCACAGTTTTTTTTTTCAGTATACATATTTTATTCAAAGACTTATTTTTGAGGACAAACATACTACATGTGAAACCGCTTTGGGAAGAAGCCATGTACAAATTGAAGATAACTTGTTATGATGAAATTTTCTTTTGAAAAATGAGCTTTCAAAAATAGTTTTTGTATTCACCTGCTAAAGCTCAGTATTTGGCCCCTCACTTTTGTCATTTGTAAGAAGGTAATTTGCTTCAAAACTCTAGGCTGTATGCTGGCAAAATGAAATTACTAGTTAGCAAGTTTGTGCCTTGATTGTTTAATAAGTGAGGGCTTAGAAGAAATGAATGAACAATAAAATAGAGCTTTTGTTTCTACTGTATGTAGTTACTGCTGTCTGTTATGATACAGGGCTCAGATTTGTATTATTGATTCTTATAGCCCAAAAGAGTTCATCATACACAAAAAGTTTTATATTTGTTAAAACCAAACACTGTCAGGAAAGGCTTGATGTTACTCAGAATGGTAAAGGGAGTAAAAATGTTTAAGGTGTTTAGTAGAAAAAAGAAAGGACATTGTTGTATATCAGTTAATGCTCTCTGTTTGCAAAACAACAGAAACTAATAGAAGAGAGGAATTTAGTGGGAGAATATGGGGTAGCTCCAAATATTTAAGAAATGGAAGAAAAACGTCAGAACTCCAGAAAGCAGAAGCAGGGCATTAGCCAGGTTCTGGATGAACTATCAGGGACAGTCTCCTTGGGAAGCTGTGACCCACTGAGAACTCCGATTTCTTGGGCCTTGGACCAGATTCCTGTCAGTTCTACCTGACTGGTCTTGGCGAGTGAGAGTAAATGGGGGAGGAGTACTAGCCCACCCTGCGCACTCGGATCTATAATTGGACGGTCCTCCCAAATCAGTGATAAAGGTGGGCAGGACCCCGGAGAATTAAAATGTTCCCGGAACAAGGTAAAAGGACGCTGGCAAAGGCCGCATACATTCATCACAGGCAGTTTTGTTTTACCAAGAGAATGAAAAGATTCCTCTCTAAGGTGGTCCATGTGATTCCATGTTACTAACATGTCTTTTGAATACCTACATCAGGATTCAAATACTGTTGTCAATTAAAAGCTGGAGTACATGTTAGTACCCTGAAATTCTTAAAAATTTTACAAGACTTAGCTCTTCACTGTAAGTCATTTTCAATTTTATGATGACTGAAAAAGGAAGTTAATTTAGGTAACTGTTGCCATCTTGATAATTTCACTTCTTAGAATGATCACATTTATATCTTTTTTTGTATATAAAAGCAAAAAAAATTATAATATACAGCCTGTGGACAAAATCTACATTGAACCTTACTGTTCTTTTACCTTATGAAATATAAGATTTTAAAAACTCTATGGGGTGTTGAAGTTATTTAATTTTTACTTTAATTCACTAATGCTCAATGATCATTTTAATCAGACTTGTCTTATTTTCTCCCTAGTTATCAGTGATACCAAGAAAGGTTAAAGATGTCAGATGTTAAATATAATTAATGTTAAACGAAGACCTGATGAATCAGAGTATTATTTCTAAATCAAATGACTCAACAAAAGCTCGCCCATCATAATTACTAAAAATTAGTCACTCTGTGAGATCTTTGTGCTGATCCTAAGAGAGATGAAATAATGAAGGGAAATCCTTTTGCAAGCACTGCAGTGTGACCTCAGAGAAGCATGTCTTTCCAGGCATGAAATTCACTATCAGTTTATCCAAAACTTGAGCAAAATTGTCTTAGAATTTAAGTATCATTGAAAAGTACATTTATGAAGTAACTTCCTTGCTAGATTGTGTGGATGTGATTTTTGCTCTGTATTTGGCATTCTATATAGTTTGTTAGGACTAAGGATTGTGTAAATCTTCATGTCCCAGTCTAGATAATGGGAACAGTATTAGTGCCCTTCCTCTTAGGGATACATCAAGTATTCACTTTGTAAAGTACGTATTTTAATATGGACATATACCACAAGCTTAATAAATAGTAGTGTAATTATTATTGAGTTAGTTTGCAATAATCAGAAGGTTCCACTTATCTCCCTAGAATATTTGGGAACGCCCTATAATTTTATGATACCCATAAATTTTATCTGTTTCCCAATTTATGTCACAACTCTTATTCCCTAAGACTGTCAAGTATATTTTCCAAGTTATCTTCAGAGTGCAATCAGCCAGATCCTTCTTTTCCTCTCAGGCTTTTCACAAGGCAATGAACTGGCACATTCCCATCATGGTCAGACCACAGGGTGCCAGGAAGATAGACCAATTCCCTTGACATTTCTCCCTGTTCCTTGGGGGCATTTGCTGTCCTTTTCTGCCTCATCACCTTTAGAAAAATCTTCTTTTGTTCTCATGATTGCCAATGAATAGTCCTCTCACAGTTTGCCCGAAGATGTACTGGCATGCCCAGTGATTCCGCAGAAAGGACTGGGAGTCTTTTGAAAATGAAATTCTTACTTTTCTGGAGAGAGTAATGATAGGAAAGATGGGCAGTTTGGGAAATAATAAATAAATTCCAGAGAATGATGAATTCTTAGCAAATGATATATCTCCTAAAACAAAACACAAAGATACCCCACAGTCCTTTTTATGCCACATTATATGAAATGTGTCATTTTTAATGGCATTTACTTCTTTAAGGTCTTAGAAATATACTTCATTTTTTAGGGGATCACTCACATCTGAAAGGAAGTGTTCTTAAGTTGACCTTTTACTTAGATATATCAGTTGTCAGGTCTTGACTACCACTGTATACTGAATAGAATCTAAAGTGTTAGGGGGAAAAGGTTTGATTGACCAATTGATTTTTTTAAAGGCATAAGGGAGGGTTGTTATAAGAAAGAACAAAAGAAAGAAAGAAAGAAAAAAATTCTATATTGTGAATATTTTTAAACTACTATTTGTTGAGCTCCTACTTAATGTCTTTGAACATTCTCATTTAGCCCTTTAAAAATTCTATGATTTAGTTAGTATTTTCATCTCCTATTTTACAAACAAGAAAACTAAGATTTAGAAAATGTAGGCCATTTATCCAGTATCACAGACTAGCTAGTAGGACAAGTATTAAATTCAACTTTTATTAAATCTAAATTCAATATACTTCATTCCTATTTTGTTCCATAGCACATTTTCTAAATGAAAACTAATTTCTCTCTTAACATCGTCATACAGATGACCCTACCAAATTGGTTTGTGAAGTTTAGTTTTGTTTTATTTTTCCCTCATCAATAGTCACAGCTCAGCAATCTCATAAATGGGTGAGTGAGCTTCGGACTACTCTTCCTTATCTGGAGGGAGTGGACAAGCCTCCAGGGACAAGCAGAGTTCAGATACAACAATCTCAGCTTCTCGAGGTCTCAAGCAAACCTCCCTTCCCAGGGTTGTGGCCTCTTGGCATCTTTCCAGACCCAGCCTGCCTGCAGGACTTGCTGGATCCATCCTGCCATTTCTCAGTGGAGAACTCTTTATTTTAGACTCTACTCTTGTATTCTGTTCAGTGGACTTGAAAATTGGAGATTTCCTTGTTCTCTGGTCCTTCCTGTGCCTGGGAAACAGACTTGGAATTCTTCTTTTCTTCTCCATCAGGAAAAGGACAACTTCATTCGTTACCACTCCTTCTCTCAACTCTTGGAACCTAGCCTGGGCCAACAGTTAGGCTCTTGAGAAAGGAAGTTGAGCTTCCTTTTACTTATTTTTCCCCTCAATTAATCGAAGAAATCAAAAGAGAAAAGCTTCTTGACATACAGTACCAAATAATAAAAGTTCCTTAAAGCAAAAGCCTTAATACCCATTACCATCATTTGAGAAATTTGACATAAGCTAATTTATGAGGTAATTGAAAGTAAACAAATGCTTTCTTTCCTCCTCCTCTTCCTTCCTATAGCTTAAACCTAAATAATTGTTTCTTGAGTAAAATAAATCCTCATTGTTCACAGATTTAAATATTTATGTATACCTAAATTCCTATGATCATCATGTATATAGTCTTATATTTGTGGAGGCAGAAACCATGCATATAGCAAACATTGCAAAATATTCATCAAAATGCCTCTTTTTCTTCCTGAGCAGTTGCTATACTACATTTCCACGCTTCCCTTGCAGTTCAGGGGGACCACAGATTTTGCTGTAAGGTACTCTTGCATCCTCTTCTACCTCTGGCTTCCTGAGATGGAGGGGGAGACAGCCACCTTGAAAGGCCAGAACAGACTGCCATCCTGTCCCACTGAACGGCTATGCAGAGCTGAGCTGCCACTGACCTGGAACCCTTACCCTAGTCTTTACCCAGAAGAGAACACGTTTTGTTCCCTAACACACTGGATTTGCTGGTCTAGATGTTACTGCATCATCACGTAACTGCAAGGCTGTACATGTGGTGTGTAGTCTAGTTGCTTAGTTACTTAGTGCATTTGGCAAACCCCAGTGCCTGAAATTTGTTGCATTCTGCTCCTCCTACTCATCTTGATGTAAGCAACAGCATGACAAATAGTGACCCTTTTGAATATTGTGGACATCACAACAGTAAAGTAACTGCTAAATCTTGTTAGCTAAAGTAAAATGAAATTGAGTGTGCCATGCTTCTTAGCTAAAAGGTGGATATTTTCTCTACTTTAACAGTAAAATCCCAAATTTCTATCAGTGGCGTGAATAATTCCTCCATATGCTCTATATAAATACAGAACGAATAAAAGATTTAACTCCTGAACTCTTCTAGCAAATGCTTCACATGGGATTTTTAAAATAGGTTTATGATTATGTTCTTGGATCTATAGTATTATTAATGATAGCAAGGGATTGTTTACATGTCTCAATTTATATTTCACCTTTATTTTGCCTTTTTCTCCTTTAGCCTAGAAAAGGTAGGCATGCCTCCATTGTATTGCAAGTTATTAGGGTCTGCTGGGGTCTCAGTACAAGTGCTATCTTTCTTATCAAACTGAGTCATCGAAAATCAGATAGTAAAATAGACTGGGAATAAAGTACCATTTTTTTTTACTCATTTATAAAATTGACTTTGGAAGATGGACTTACTAACACTGCATCTCAGATGTGTAATTACCTATTCTATTCTCAAACTGGACAACTTAGTCCTCTAGTACAATGTATGCCTAACTCCTAGGAGAAGGGGAAGATAAAGGAGCTTAATACAATTAATAATACCCTCCTCCCTGGAGGGCAGAAATGTCAGCACTACTATCCTAGTGTTAATCCCTCTACATGTTAGGAAATATAAGGCATAGGGATAGCTCCATGGCAATGTGGACCGGGATTAATAGTGATCTGTGGGCGGGAACTCTGCCTTTACAAGCTGAGGATAAGACAACTTACAAAGTAGATGGTAAAGTCATAGCTGTTGTCAATTCAAATATGAATTTAGGACTTTGGATAGCATCCAAGATGCTGTCCAAAAATTGTAAATGAGTCTGCTGAAGTTTAGTTAAGCGCTGGGTACCTCCCAAGTTCACAGGTGAACCTTCTTTTACGTATTCCATCCCCCTTCTTTTACTTTGCAAAAGAAGCCTTTTCTGTATACAGTCTTGTACTCAAAACTATCATAGTAAATATATTTGTTAGTATGTGCCTAGAAATGTGAGCCTTCACTCCTTAATGCGTAAGTACTAATAGATTGCCTATTTTTCTTTCCCAGAAGATCCTTATTTGAAAATTGAAAAAGCACTATATGTAGTGTTAAAAGCCTGTAATCTCACTAAGAATCCTCAGTCCTCCAACTGGTATCTATTTGTCTTGTTGGATTTATTTACTCTGTCTCTCCTAAAGTTATTTTAGCAACCATATGTTATTTGTCATAGAGGTTGCTTTTGTTTCACATTAGGCTCAGAAAGGATTGCATAATAACATAACAAATACCTTGAACTCACATAGCTACTTTCATCGCCAAGCCTTTATAAATGCTAACTCATTATACATAACCCCAGCATTCCAATGACTTTGGTATCAATGGGTATTATTTCAATTTCTCAGAGGGAAATGGAAAGCATTCAAAATGTCCCAGCATATCTGTATCTAGAAGTCAGAGCTGCTAACATTCACACAATACTTCCCGGTTATTCTGGGTGGGATTGTTTGATGTAGCCTTGGGCTACTTGAGGGAAGCACTGGCTGGATTCCTGCGGTGTGCGTAATCATTAAAGTATGACACAGACAAAACTGAAATGCCCACTGTGTGCAGGGAACAGTGCACTACTACTCTTAATCTTTGGGGATTTCTAAAATCTTGAGGTGCTGGTGGGAAGTAGATTGTGAACTTCACTTCTTTTTTCTATCCTTGCATTCACTCAGATAAAGAAGCATTGTAAACCTCAGAAAATGGTTGTCAGTTTCAAATTAGCTGATGCTGCCGGTGTCCAAACCAAGAAGTGCTGATTATTTCCAAGCACTTATGGAGGTGTCTCTGGCCATTTTCAGTTCTCCATGAAATGCTTTCTGTATTCTCACGTGACTTGGTAAAACTGGGGCCTTTTTTTAACCTGTTGATACCAAAAGTAAGAGAATTCTTATTCCTTTCAAGAGCAGCTGATATAAAATAAAGAAATCACAAGCCTGCAATATTAAGCAGCAAAACAATATTGATTTGATGACACACAACATTTGATGAACTACAAAAACAATCTTAACGTGCTAAACCCTTAAACAGTGTTAAAAGTTATATTTTTAACAGCACATGTCTAACACGTTGGAGCTTTTGAACAACAAAAAAAATCTTTCCTGACCTCACATTTTAAAAAACCCTTCTTTTTATAGCAATATGTAGGAATCTTGAAAATCATTCAAAATAATGCATAGATTTGCAAAATTTTACATAGGATAGGTAAGAACCCATCAATGATCTGGTAATGTATAATTTTATGATTGTATTTTCCTTTTGTTTTTAAAGGTGTCATACTTTACAAACACAACTTTTCATGATTTTTCAAAGGCAAGTAATTTTTTTTGGAAGAAAGGAAAAGTTTGCATTTTTAACTTACAATTTGTTACTGATTGTACCAGTCCAAGGAACATGTTTAACACCTGAACCCCATAATGGCCTATAATGTCAGGAACTCATAGTCTACAACTCAGGAAATGACAGTGCTTCATCTTTGGTGTGGAGTATGTATTCTTAGGCAGTCTGCATTAAATCAATAGTATTTTCAAAGACACTTCTGTGTGGCCAGTGCTATCCTAGAAGACATGGAATCTTTGAGGAGTAATGCTCTCACTCGAGGGACCCAAAAACACAATTGGAAAATGAGGACATTAGTTAATAGTAAAAGGGTAGAGAAAATAGGCTTCATAGTGTTTAGGTGCCAAAGGACTTCGCTGGAGGTGAAGCAAGACCTTTCTCATCGGAGGAGGGGCTTATCTGGGAAGGCTTTAACAGGAAGTGGATCCGGAAGGCAGGGAAGGGGATTATCTGGGAGCCGGTCTAGACACAGGCACCCGTGTGGAGCCTAGGGAAGGCTGACATCTGTAATGGTGATTAAATGGTAATGAAAACACTCACAAACACAGATTTCAAAAAATCAGTAGTTGGTGAGAATTCTTGTCCCTTGCACAAATTGAAACTTGCATTTGGTTTAGAAGATTTTTTCCTCATTATGTTTTTTAATTATATCATTAATTTAATGGGCACGGTAGCATATTTCACTATACAGAAAAGGAAGAAAAAAACAAACACCCAGAGCTAATTCAAAATTTCCTGTTTCTTTTTGATATTTTCCCTATGCGTGAGCATATAGCCATACATTTATGTGGTTACAATCACACCATATATACAGCATACCTTTTTTAAATAATTAAATTTATAAAAATCACCTTTCTGTTATGACTGTTTCTTCCACATTGACCCATAGGGAGAGAACATCTTACTCCTTTTGCCAGTCTGTCAAATTTCCCTCAACAAGGTATTCTGCCTCATCCAGTTTCACCTTTGGAATAGAGACTAGAGGAGTGGGAGGCAGGAAAGAAGTTCACAGGTGACTGGACACCTGGAGAAATAGACAACGGAGACTATGCTTACATTCATCTGTTTGTCCACTCTGAGTCCTTTAGTGGTTGTACAGTATGTGTGAGGCATGGTAGGAGACATAATTCAGCTCTCAATGAACTCTCAGTGTAAGGGGGATTCAGACAACTGATGAGGAAATTCCAGAATAGTTTAGTAAGTGCTAAGAGAGAGGAAATATAGGAAAGTGTGGTAACCCATACTCTAGGCTGGTTCAAAAAGTCTTTTGAAATCTTTAGAAGGCACCCAGTGACTAAATGAAGCCGAGAGGTGACTAAGTCAGCTATAGGCCAAGGAAGGAAAGCAAAAATTCCAGCGAGAAAGAATAGCATGAATAAAGTGTGTCAGCATGATACAACTACCTCCACAACAAAGCCTTCAGTATGTTTGGAGCATGAAGTGCAGGAGGTGGGGTGGGGACAGCTAATGTACTGCCAAGGTCAGAATCACAGCAGACAGAACCTTATAAGCTCTATATATGCAAGACTGGGGTTGGACTAGCAAGGGGATTCATTAAAACTTAAAGTGGAAAGTGACATGATCAGATTATAATTTTACTTAATTATTCTATCAAACATACTTTCTTAATTCTACCTGAAATTAACTGGTTTATTTATCAAATGCCATTAAGACGCCAAATACTTCATTCCCATTAAACCACTGACTCTGCACAATAACCTTTAAAGTACATACCATTATTCTAATTACATAGATGGAAAACTGAACTCAGAGAGTTTAAATAATTTGCCCAAATCACTTAGCAATAAATGGAATGAGAGCTCAACGGAAGATCTATTTTACTACAAAGCTTGTGTTTTCTCCAGTGGACCAGGCTGCCTTCCAATTATGCTCACAACTAACTGTTGGATAGATAAGAATGCCAAAATTTATGTGAAACCTAACTAGCTTCAAAAAAGGGGGAAAGGTAAGGTAAGGCAGTGAATTTGGTGCGGGCTAAAGAGTTGAGTGAATCAATTCCTTTTAGCCACATATTCTTCTCTACTTGGGTCTGCTTAAATGCGTTTATGCTCAAGAACTTGTCAACAAACTGATATAATCCTTTCAGAACATGCAAGTTTTCTTTTTACAAAGGGGAGTTTGATTACATTGGCAGTAGCCCCTATTTTTAACATTGTTTGAGTTTCTGGGCTCATCTTAAATAGGGAAAATGAAAGAGTTCCACTGTGTATAAAAGATGGTTGTGACTTTTTACAGTCATCTGTGACTTACATGAGGACTTCTAAAGGATTAAGTAAGCCTTAGTAATGCAGCAAAAGCACATAGGCAGTGTCAGAGAACTTCAGAAGTTTAGGCGTCTAAAACTGGCTGCGGCGGGGCATGTTTCAGTATGGGAGTAAGTTGCTGAGGAAGTGTGTGATAAAAATGTATTTGCTCCTGGAGAAGCATATCTCGTCATTTCAGCTCACCTGGTTTGACTGCAGAATATTACTTCACAGTAAGGAAGTGGAGCATTTAACATCTTGTTCACCTTCTAGGTGACCCTTTCATACCACACCTCTGTCGGGAGACAAAAGCAAACATAGTGCTGAGAATTCCCAAGGGTTGAGGGCCAGGTAATCCTTTCAGAACTACTCTAACCTGATACTCCTGACTAAGGTGGGACACTGAGAGTCTGAGAAAATGAAAATCTTTCCTTTCTTTTTTTGTTTCCCCTATTCTTTTGGTTTAAAAGTAACAATCATACAACCCCAAATATTGTACATGCTCTTATCATGCCTCCCTCACCTATTTTCTTTTGTGAATTACTCTATTAAAAGAAAAAAAAAAAGGAACAAGCAAAGATTGTATAATGGATCAGAGTTGTTGATCTGGGAACATTTAAACAACTTGAAAGTGAAGCGTCCAACTGAGAATCATACAGTCCCTCACAATTGTGGTGATTTTTTTTCTAATTGCCCTGCAAAGGGAAGTGGGAGATGAGACAGAATGTGTGATGTCTTAAAATTTATTGTATGAGTGAGGCCTTCAGATAGAGATAACCTATCTGATTCCTTCTGTGTGAAGAAGAGCATGTAGACATTGGCTCATGACTTTTCTTTGCCCTAGGAATAAGAGACAGTCCTGTTCTTAAGGTGGTCTCCAATTCTCAGCACTAAAATAGAAAGACTTTGTGGCTCTGGACTTCAAAGTGCTGTGATAGAGAGCCCAAATTTTTTGTTCCGGTTTCCCCAATATTCTTAGTTGAGTGTTAAGATTTAACATCCATTTTTAAACATTTATTTAGTGATTGGCTTTCTGAAGATCTCTATGGCAGTCAGACATTGCCCTGATCTTTGAGGAGAAAGAAGTCTCTAGTCTTCCTGAAAATCCAATTAAAAATTTCCTGCTCAGCCTGCTCAAGCAGAGCATGTTGGTGTCAAAGTGGCCCTGTGTACCTTGGAGCCCTGGCATACACTAGGGTTTGAAAAATCAGACACTGTAATAGAACCTAAGACTCTAAAATCTGACCGCATGCCTTTTAACTTTGCTTCACTGTTTGCTGACTGTATAACCTTGCGTGAGCTGATTTTCAGTTTCTTCATCTAATGATCCTAAGAATATTTATCTTGTGCAAGTTGTATAGAAGAGTAAATGAATTAATTTTCATAAAGTGCTTTGACTAGTACTGGGCATGAGGGGAGTACTAAAAAAGTATTGGTTCCTTCTGTGTAAGTATGGTCAGATCCAGATGAACACTAAAACACAAACGAATGAATGGCACTGTTTTTGGTCAAAGAGTAAGTCTTGAAATTTTAGATATTCCAGGTGTTCTTCAAGGCGACCTTTTGAAGAGCTCCAGAGGTTGCTTCACATCTTTCTTGCAAATGGGGCATATTTCCTGCATGTGATGGCCTGGTACACTTGGACTTTCTCTCTGTGGTTCCCTAGAATTGTGTTTTCTCTTTTATTGTTTTTTCTTTGAAGTATGTGTGTGGGGGGGATATTTTTCTTGTTTCAAAAAAAGTGTATATTTGTTACTGTTATAGTCTGTAGTGATTTCTTCTGGCCCATGTGAATAGAATACAACTGACCCTAGGACACGTGAAAATGAGAACAAGTGTACTTTTTCTCACAGGTGATTCTCAGATCTAAGACTTCTGTGTGGTTTGATGTGCAGCAAATTAGCATATGAACCCAAGTGGATAGGTCCCTTCAGAATTGGATGGAAAACTTAGCTAAATTGCTGTTGTTGTTGTTGCTGCTGCTGCTAAACCAGTGTGGAACTTGCCAGTCTTCGAAACAAGGCTTTCAGTGTTAGTTTGCTGAAACAAAGATGGAAATAAAAGATGAAAATTGAAACCAATGCATGATTATTGAACGCATGCTATATGCAAGGGGTGTATAGATGTGAGATTACAGGAGATAATTACTCAGAGAGAAACTGAGTGAAGCTAAAGCATAAGCTTCCACACTTTTTACTTTCTTGTCAAAGAGATTTTTAAAGTGTGCTTCACTCAGAAAGTAAAACAATGTTCCATCAGAAAAATATAAACGTACACGCACTGAAACTAGAGCTTACTTCTATGAAAATACCCAAATTCTGTCATGCACTAGAACCATACTTATCCCAGGGAGAGGTGGGGGGAAGCCCACTGTGAAATATTGGGGCTATAGGGACCCTTCTCTTTTCTTCAGGAGTTTAACCTGAAAAAGTTGATAGCCAGAAAGTCTACACAAAGGACTAATTCTGAGTGGAGTTTTCCAAGCTCTTATAGCAGCAACATCAACCATCTCATCTACCTCCCATGGGGAAGACTTCTGCCAAAAGAGTCCTGTTGCTGCTTATCTGAGTTCTACACAGCCCTTCCCTAGCCGCTTGTCATTTGGCCAGGTTAGAACAAAGCCAACCAATCCGTATAGGTGGCAAACCTTTTTCAAAGTGTTCCATATGTATTAACTCAATGAATCCATATAGCAACCTTCCAAGGTGGGTTCTGCCTTTTTCAAGTGAGGAAATAAATGGAGGCATTCAGAGATTAAGGAATTACCTAGTGGTGCACAGCTGGAAGGGCAGTCAGGATTCAAATTCAGGCCATCATCTGCAAGGCTGCTGATTGCCTGGTCCACTTTGCTACACTGCTCCAAGGCAAGTGAAAGGTCTAATGGATCTAACCATGGGACAAGTATTTTTATCCTAGACTTTGCATTTAATGCAATAGATTTTGAAAATTTGAAAAAGATTCACTCTGATTGAGCACCTAGATATGATGAATAATTTTTCAAAAATTATTGACCTGCAAGAGATATTTCCCCTGAGAGAGAAGCAATAACTCGCCCATGACAAAATGAGTCATAGGTAATATTTTTTTTTTTTTTTTGGTACCGGGAATCCAACTCAGGACCTTGCACTTTCTAGGCAGGCACTTGTGCCACTGAGCTATATCCCCGGCCAGTCATGGGTAATATTGTTTGTAAAGTGGCCTCAAATTCTCATTGTTTAGGGATAATTCATTAGTAGCTATTTGGGATAGAAAAGGAGAACCAGAAGGTATGGCCATTGAAGAGTGACTCCACCAATCAGGAGAAGTTGTCTGTGTGTACTGAAGAAATAAGATGTCTTAAAGTTTGATATGAAAACACCACTGAACACACAGAACATTGTGCTGTGTGCCACCCACATATCTGTTTTGAAGGAAAGAGGTATTCAAGGTAGTCTGGAAATGGTTGCTATCATCCCCGGGATCAGCGGAGGCCACACAGGAAGCAGAAGCTCAGAGGTAGAGAAGCTCCCAGGTTGTACTCACATCTTGGTATTAGGAAAGTTGAAAATCACCTAACTTTTAAAGGTATGCTGTCATGAAGATGAAATGTCCTGGCTGGTGCAATCCATCTCCCTCAGAACCCAGTGTCTTCATGAAGATACTTACTCAAATGCAGTCAAAACTCAGCTTAACAACTTTCTTGACTAAAGAATTGAATTTTTGTCTATGTTTAATATTCCATATCCTTTGATTCTTTATCATTGTTGCTTTGTGTATATAAGAAAGAGAGAGAGACAGAGAGAGAGAGAGAGAGAGAGAGAGAGAGAGAGAGAGAGAGAGAGACAGAGAGACTTTCTTTGATAAGACTCCTCAGAACCTCTCTCTCTCTTTTTTTGGAAATGACCTGGGGCTCCTTGCACACAAACACCGAAACCAAATAGTCATATTATCGTCGTATTATCACTGTGTTCCTAACCCTAGAGACACTTAGCATGGGTGTGGGTTTGCATAACAGGGAAACTAGTATTAACCTGGTACAAATACTAATTAAATGTTGAAAAATTCAGGGATCACACTGCAGTGAGGCAAAGGCAGGTATGTGGTGTGTGTGTGTGTGTGTGTGTGTGTGTGTGTGTGTTTCTCTAAATCATCTAAATCTATTTGATAGTGGATACAAAGTTCAGGACAAAAAAATAGGAAGAAAAAAATCAGCTTGCATGATTGGATAGAGAAAGCAGCTCCCTCTTTCGGGGAGGGTGGTGATTCACCATGTGACAATGCATAAGTCACCCGCTCTTTGTATCCCACCCTCCACCTTGTAAGTGGGAGCTGGAACACTTGAGAATGTTACCACTCAAACAAGGGAGATCGTGAAGGCATAGGAGACTCACATACTAAGCACATGCATGTTTACAAGGGAACTTACTTGAGAATGGGCTTTTTCAAGACTTTCTGGAACTCTAGGATACTGTGATGCTATTTGAAAAAGTGAAAACAAAGTTAAGGTCTTACCTGCAAAACCAAAAAGAGAAACTCAACTTCTGTGGAAAGAGGAAGAGTGGAATTGGAGTGGAGAAAAGGAAAAATAAAAGCTAATATTCACCACAGGAGGTATTATAAATGCTACATGCTTTTATTTTTTCAAGGGGAATGCTAAAGCACAGTTCAGCTTTTACTATCTAAATTCACTTCTAATTCACATCTTCAGACTTGTGGGAGAGTACAACATTCAAAGGACATGTGCTCATAGTGAACATGTGAGAAGCACAGACAAAACACCTCAAACTCTTGTCTTTACATCTGTGGCACATGTTCTTCAAACAGAACATATAAGGATGAAGAAAAATTGATCTCTTTTTCTGCCCTTTTGAATAATTTTTTTGTTGTTGTAGGAAATAGAAGTTTCTGACATTGATATACTCTGATTCAATTAAACAAATACTGTTTGCTTGGTTATTATCAAAATGAGGAAGCAGCTTGTCCACAAATTCTCTAAAGGAAGATTCAGAAGAAAAAGGAATTGCAGTTAATCCTTTCCCATGTCACGCCTAAAATAGCTGTCTGCTGATGGGGAAGCTGTTGTATTTAAAATGTAGCCTTTATAATGTGTGGCAGGAATCACAGAAGAAAGAATAGAGTCGGAAGTTCAGTAACACATTCAAAAATGTCAAGTATGAAATAGTACTGTCCACACTGTCCATGCTGAGGGTCTGAGAACTTCTGTTAGCTATTCTCAGAAACACAAATACTTAAAAATATTCCTTGGTTAATTAATTGTGAGGGAGGGTGAGTTAAAGAAAGTTACTGCTTTCTGCAAAACTTTGGAGTAGTTAATTGGCTAATGGAGATTATGAATTTCCAAGAATGGGATATTGGAGGAAAGCAGCAATTCTCAAACCTGTAACTATTTTGTTCACATAAACCAACATATCACAGTTCAAGGGAAGCAGTCTGTAAAATGCTGACATAGAACAAAATTGCACATGAAGCTTTAAGCTTTCCGCTTAAACTACAGAATGTCAGTATCCGCACACCTTGATATGTTTTCCCATACACACCAGCCCTTAGATTTGACTTACTTCTAGTCATGCGTTGATTTTGTACTTACACTGCAATGCCTGTACTTCTTGACATAAGAATGTGAATGCTCGTGGTCCTTCTCTGATGTGCACTAAATGGGTGATGAAACCAAATTATAAAAGGGAGCAAGTGTCATTTTACGGAGGAGGGCAGCCGCTGAGCACTGACGGCGGTGTCACTGAATCACAACACAGTTGGAAAATACCCACTGTAAATGCAAAAACATGGTATAAAAAATTCACATTATCTCTTTTCCTGTCTAAATGTTTATACTTGAAAAAATGCTTTCTTTTCATTATGGAAAATTTTAATTGTCTTCTAGCGCTGTTCTTTCCAGCACTTCTTAATTTGGAGTTCTCCAGGTCTGAATGCCAACACCACTGGCCTTTGGATGCCCGTTCTACATCTATTCTGGTGTAAGGAGCAATTTGGCCGAAGTAGAGTTGTGTAGTTTGATACGGCCTGCTTATTATCTATCTTTGCTGTGATGATCTCTATCCCTTCTTGATTAAGGGATACTGGAATTTAGTATGTGGCAGTAAAATCTCCAGCAGTAGGTGATTTTCAAAGAAAGCCATTTGAAGTAACCTCCAGACTTTAATTTAATGAACTATAATTATTGCCAGTTGTGCAAATACTGGGAAAAACAATAGGTATTGGAAAGTATAGGTGAGTCAAGCAATGGTTATTGCAAGATCCTGCATCAATCATTGTCAGTATTATCTTTTTTTTTTTTTTTTAAGCCAGTGAAACTTCTAAGGAGAGGAAGAGGATAATAAGCAAAGTGCAGAGAGGAAATGTATGTTTTCCTAAAATTACGGTATCCAGAATATGAAGGAATACACAACAGTTGTATCTGGCGGCAGGAAGACTGCAAATGAAATTGGCTCTGTCAGTTTTAGTCGTATATTCCAGGTCAAGATTCAAGAAGGAAGTTTATTCCCTCCGTATGAATCTTCTCCCTTCTGTTGGCTCTTGTCTTCCTTGACAACTGCACACCAAGCGCTCTGGTACAGGCGGGTGACACCGGCTGCATGATGTGGCCTATCAGTCATGTTGAACACACCCAGTGGCAATCACCATTCTGATTCAAGGCAGGATAAAGAGAGTTCAGCGCACAATGTGCTGTTTAGGGAGGTGATCTGGAAGCATGAACCGTATAACTTTCGGCAGAAACTGTTTTCTGAATGTGTCAGTAATATCTCAAGTACATGAAAAACCAGCTTTACTGTCCTTTAAATACAAGATTTTTTTTTTGTATTTCTAAAGCATTTACCATTGTATGGTAGACAAATATTATCCCTGTTTTTCAGCTGTAGAAACTGGAATGCTAAAAGGTTAAGCAACGTTCACAAAGGTACATAGTGAGTCATTTTCTGAATCAGGAAATAAACTGGTGGCTCTGATTCCCTTTTCCCTGATTCTACAAGCCAGCAAGAATCATTTTAACACTGTTTACAAGAAGCGTGTTTCTTGAGTGCCTTGCAATGGGCACTGAACAGATTTTCTGAGACTTACAGATCACAAAATGTGATATATTCTGAGGAGCAGTAAAATTTAGTCAATAACATTATTTTATGCAACCAGTTTTATGGAGTATTGTACAGGAGCCAAAACTTTTCAATCTTAATTTGAACTCTACCTATGATTTAAAAATAGGCACTAATGTCTCTTTGCCTCCAGAAGTATAAGGATAATTATCCCTACTATAAATTTCATAAGAAAGTTGTGTATTACATGATAGGGTTTGAGTTGAATGGATGGATAGGACTACTGAATACATTTTTAAAAAATGATCATATCGCTCGTCTAATAGAATTTCTTTAGGTTTCTTATGAAAAAGTTTTAAAACTACTACCAGATTTTAGTGTGTGTTTTTATACTCGTCAAAGTACTTCAGAAGGATGTTCCATATTTCAGTACTAGACACTTTTAAATATATTGGTATAGCCAGTCCTTATGACAACCAGTTTGGTGCTCATCGTAGTGTGAAGTTCAGGCTTATGTAATAAGCCAGTTCTGTCCCCCAAAGTTTCTTGAGTGTTACTCATTAATTTTGCTGCTCTGTATACTGTGCTTTCCACCCCCACCCTGATTTCTTTCTAAAGCTACAGCAAGAACGTAGTCAGAAATACAAAACTGCAGAACTGTGTTTGTTAGTATAATTGGAACTGTACTTTTTTAAAAGGTTGTTGCTTTTGAAGGTACTTTACTGGATGAGAAAGGGAAAATAACAAGGATACAAATATAGGAAAAAAAAAAAACAGAAACCTAGTTTACACACCGTACATTACTGATTCAAACTACACAGCCCTCGTAAGGTCTGCCTGTCTTCTTCCAAATGCCATTTTGAAGAATCTGTAGTGCAGGCCTCCCCTGCTTACCCTGTTTCCCTAGATTTTTTACATTCCAGTTTCTGGCTTTGTTCTATATGGGGACATCATCACACAAACTGCCACAGGGAATCTCTCTCTAGGACATCCTGACAGTTTGTTTCCCTTAGTAGTTAATGAATTCTCTGAAAAAAGTTCTGCCTGTCTCAGTTGTGTTAGAAACAGGGCACTGTACCCACTTTTGTGTCAGTTAGGAGAACAACAACCCTGGGAGGCCCCGTCATCAGGCTAGCAGTGGTATAAAAGCATGGCGACGCCACAGAAAGATAAATGATAGGAGATGCCAGCGCAGAGGGATTCCCCACTCCTCTGCCCACTCAGCTTCTTTCACGGCTGCATCTTGGGTGTCTAGATTTGGTTTTAGTAAAGACAAAAGTTGTCTTTCTAAGCTGCTATTATATTCATTTTATAGATGAAAAGAAAAAGAGAAGCATTGAGGAAGGTAAACAACTCATTCTAAAGTATAGAAGCACAGGTTGGTAGTTTTTGAATTTGGATCCATTTACCTCTAACAGGTGCATTTTTCTTCTGTGTCACATCACCTAAGGGGCGTGGCCCATGTACAACCCTGCAGAACAGTCCCATGAGGTCAGGGGGGCACAGTTACCGATCAACCTCCCCAGACTCTGAGCAGCTCACTCTGCTCCAATCTTTAAGTGACACCTGCTCAGTTTAAGAAAAAATGAACCAGTCACTAGCTTTTTACAAGCAAGGCATTCAAAGCCATAATAAAGAGAAAACTATACAGCAAACATAATACATACGGTGAAACATAACACCTTATTCAAAAGGAAAACATTACATATTAATATCTTCTACTCTCAACTGCTCCTTTCTGAAGATGATGAGAATGTACTACATAAAGTCAGTTCTCATTATGTGTGGTAGTTATGTCCTACAGAATTGCTGCAAATATGAAACCATTACTCCTGGGGAAATACAGGTTTAGGTTCCTATGTGCCTTGTCACATATCTGCCAACTAAAGAATATATCACCTTGTTTTATCTGTGTTTCTGTGTAAAGACAACTTATTTAATATTGTTCGTTCACTAGCATTCAACTTACAGCCAATGCCATTTTCACTCACATGGAAACAAAATTTACCTAACACACATATTTTCTCTGTAAGGCACATCTCATTATTACACTTAGGAACTCTAGGTAACACATAAGCACTATGCTCAATTCATTTAAAGCACAAGAATGCAAAAAAGTGGCACTAAGTAGACAAAGAAGAAGAAAAGAAGAAGAAGAAGAAGAAGAAGAAGAAGAAGAAGAAGAAGAAGAAGAAGAAGAAGA